TCTAATTTATCAGGCAAAATAGTCTTTTCTCCACAAGTTCTCACTTCCCAGCAGCTTTAAAAGTTCTCAATAAGCACTTTCGTTTCTGACTTTCACTTTCAAAACCATAACAAAGACACCATCTTCAGCCTCCAGCTCAAAGAAATTCATTTGAAACAAAGTAACTCCGTAGTTAAGCTCTGCTACTTTAAGGCTTGTTCTCCTGTTTCCGCTCTGCCTGCGCTTGTAATCAATCAAACTCACTTTTGACAGCAGGATGGTCGCGGTGTCTGGCTCTGTTTAAACAGAGTTGCCTCGGATCCGGAGCTTCTTGGTGGGCTGGTTGGGGAGCTCTCACCCTCCAAGCCTCTGGAATTATTCCAGAGGACTTTCGGGGAGCTCTACTCGCAGCCACCAGCTCTCCTCTCCTTCTTCTCCCGATGGAGAGGTTTTTCAGCCGCCAGACAGCCGATTAGCACTGTCAAAGCGGCTTTTACGAGATCGCGGGGCTGGCGGTCTAAAGAGACCGTCCACGACGCCTGCGGTGCCAAGCAGAAGTCAACTCCTAACTCTTGTTTATTGGCTGGTCCACAGCGTTGCTTTAACTGTTTTCCAGCTCATGCTTTCCTCCACTCCTAACTCTTATTTTAATTTTTAACTAATTCCAAGCTTTGTTTCAACTGTTTTCTAATATAATACCTTCATCCACTCCTACCATATTTATTAACCTGGAGCAAAACTCTACTTTAGCTAATTTCCAAAATCATATTTCACATTACTCCTAGTTTCACATATTTAATTGATTGATAACATTTTGTTTTAATTATTATCTCACTTGCATTTTCCTCCCTTCCAACTTCTCTTATTCAATCTGTTAGCTTCAAATTACTTCACAATAAATTACCCATATTGTTTTTCCATTTATTCTCCTCCATATTTCTAATTTAAAATAAAAATATATTTTAACAAATATCTTCCAATGTCTTAAAAAAACCTTTTCTTCTAAATTGTTGAATCTACGGAAAATTCAAAGTTTAAGAAAAAGTTAAAGCCTCCAGAGATCATATTTTTCTTAAATCATTTGTGCTCTTATTTCTTAATCAAATTATTTGTGTATTTATATATATATTAAAACAAGGTGGTGATAGTAATAACAAGAAAAATAATAATAATAGTAATTACAATAAAAAAAATAAGGACGTAATAGAGACATCAGTAAAAAGGGGAAAGGGAGTTTAAAAATAAAAAAAAGAATTAAAAATTATATTAGAGAAAAAAAAGAAAAAAAATAGAGAGGGAAGGAAAAAAAAGCAAATGAGAAAAGAATAAAACAAAGAGAAAAAAGAAAGATAAGAAATAAAAAGAAAGCATGGAGAAGAAAGAAAAGTATCTCCTAACATTAATCATTCACCCAATAACCATTACATCCATTTGAATCAAAATGTGATATTTTGTTATCTTGTTATTTGATTTATTCCATTATTTTTTTTCTCCAATCTGTCCAAATGTATTTCTTTTCCCTTTCAATGTCATCAAAGTTATAAATTCTGCAAAGTTAATTCTGGAACTATTCCATATATGGTATCATCATGTCTTCCTTTTGTTGCCACACCTTTCTCTTATAATCACTTTTATTTAGTTCAGTTTCCATTATTCCATTTAATTTCTTCTTTCAAATCTTTCATAAATCCTCCAATGAACAGATTATGTATCAGAAACCAAGGTCTCTAAGTCTTTTCTCAGTATCAATTCAATACAAGTAACAAGCAACATAGTTTCTCTTTTCAATTAACAAATAATCTGGGATTCATACTTTCCCTTCAGAGCTAGCAGCCATTTTATCCATCACCGTTTGTCTTTTGTCTTTACTTTTAAAACATAGTTGTTTCTTCTTCTCCTTCCTCTCTCCCAGATATAATCCAGTCTCACGCCACAAAATCAGTCTAGCCTCATTTATCCACAGGAAAATAAATAAATAAAAATAGTTTAAAAAATTGTAACTAAGCCATTTCCACACAGTCATAATAAGTGCTTTCTATCAAACAGGTCCTTTGTCTTTTAGCCCCTGTAGTTGTTAGCCGCTATTAAAACAGGGGCTCACTTGTTGCAATCCACATCTGAGGGCAGCTCCCACCTGGGCAATTGTTAAACTCACCTGGCATACAAGCTCCCTGTTCTTCTCCGCTTCTCCTCCTCTCCTCCAGCACAATCGTTGTTCCCAGTTGCCGCAGTTTCGGGACAGCCGCCAAGGCTGTCGTTCCATTCCACCGGCGTGAACCTGTCTATTCCTCTCGGCCGCCCAAGGGGTCCCTTCTTGTCCCCCTGTCCCTTCAAGACAGGGGAGGTATGAAGACCTGTCGGCGGCAGCTTGGCAGACGGGGTTTTGGAAGAGCTCCGTGGAGCTTGCCATTTCCCCGTCTGTGTCCCCACGGCGCCAACCGGAAGTCTCCGGTTGCAGAAATTTTGAGTAGTTCGGAGAACCAGTAGTAAAAATTCTGACTGGCCACACCCCCATCTATTCTCTGCCTCCCAAGTCCTAGCTGATCGGGAAGAAATGGGGATTTTACAGTATCCTTCCCCTGGAGTGGGGTGGGAATGGAGATTTTACAGTATCCTTCCCCTGCTACGCCCACGAAGCCATGCCACGCCCACCAAGCCACACCCACAGAACCAGTAGTAAAAAATTTTGAAACCCACCACTGACACACACCTATTTTTACTCCACTTTCCCTAGATCCTTGGGAAAGGAATGGCATCTTTTCCCCATCCCCGTCTTTAATAATCAGGACTTTGCACTGGCGCAAGATTTAAGCACACATTTTGCGGAGTATCTCTCTTCCCCCCACCTAGAAAAAAAACAGGATTCAGAAACATGAACCAGGAAACCCAGGGGGGGAGTCCCCTCTGGACTTGGGGGAGCGGAGAGAGAGGGGGGGTTGGGGGAGGGGCTACCAGTCTGAGAACTTGGCGCAGTCTGTAATGCTGTGTTTTAGGCTCGTTGCAGCCAACCAAGGTCCTTCACTTCCCCATGGATAGGTGTTGTCTTACAATTTTCTTGCCGATTTTGACATATTCCTAATTTGTCTTTTATGGTATTACTTTTGATAGGCTATAGTTTTTTTCCTTTTGTGTAAAGACATGCAAAGAATGAATTAAGCAGTTCTGCTTTCTCCCTGCTGCTCATCACTTCCTTGCCATCTTTTCCCATTAGTGACTTTTTTCTTGCTTTTTTTTTTACATTTTGAAACTTTTAAAAATTATTTTTGACATTTGTTGCAATTCTTAGTTCATTCTGAGTCTTAGTTTTCCTGACTTCATCTTTGCAGCTCAGACTTAAATGCTGGTATTCTGCCTTAGTTAGTCTTTGCAGTTGAGCAGCATATTAATAACAATAAAAATAATTTTAAGGTTATGCTATTTTTCTTAATTCATAATTGAAATTGGGTTATTACTAAAAAGCAAGAGAGTGAAAGTGCTAAAAATAAAAAGAATATAAGCTTTATTGTTTTTGAACCAATTTAATAGACTGTCTGGTTGGCTTCTGAAACAGAAGATTATCTTTCAGAGTTGTAAACTGTTCTTGAGATAGCCGTCTGTATGATTGCAAGAGTTGTTTCCTTAGCCAAGTCAAATTTACCTGATTAGTTATTAGTGCCAAACCAGCATAAGTCACATGCTGAATATTTTTTGGAAGTCCTTAATGGGAACAGAGTTTATTGAAATTCTGGACTCAGTAGTCCACTGAGATATAAACAGGGAATGATGGATGCATATTCTGTGTCCTGAATTGTGGCTGCTGACTATGGCTGACTTTGTATATTATGAATAGCTTTTTTAGAGGCGATTTCAAGATAAAGCATTGTTGCCAATATATTTTGGCCACTGCTTTCATTTTTTTCAGAGATTTTGTGTAAAGCTATAGGATCGCTGATTTCAGATATAATTTTACATGCTCTTGCCCTCTGTTTCATACTGTGAAGTTCCACTGCCAATGTTTTTTTTTAATTTTAATTTTTATTTGATTTATATGCCACCCTTCTCCGGAGACTCAGGGCGGCTTACAATGCATTAAGCAATAGCCTTCATACTTTTGTATATTTATACAAAATCAGCTTATTGCCCCTACAAACTGGGTCCTCAATTTACCTACCTTAGAAAGGATGGAAGGCTGAGTCAGCCTTGAACCTGGTGAGATTCGAACTTACAGTAATTGCAGACAGCTGGTGTTAATCACAATGCTCAGTCTGCTGAGCCACCAGTTTTGTCTACTGCTTACTTGTTGTTCTTGACAGAATTGTCTATAAGATTAGACAGAGTTGTTTCCTTAGCCAAGTCAAAATTGTCCTACTAGTTATTAGTGTCAAAACAGTCCAAGTCACATACTGAATATGTATTAGAAGTTGATGGGAAGAGAGTTTCCTGAAGTTTTGGAATCATGGATTATAGCCAGGAAACCAGTTCCTGTTTACTTTTTATTCATTGCACTATAGATATCTGTTAGTGATTTTTAGGCTTCAAACTGGATACATACATATTCCAACTAGGTTATTCCGTGTCTTGTGGATGAACTGATCTTTCTGGATTGTCTGTTGCAGAGCTATGGTCATGTCATATATCAAAGTCTGCTTCACAAACCTAGCATTTCCTGTAGTTGATATCAGTATTAAAATTTCTCTAGATACATTTTTTCGTAAATTCAAATGTTTGCTTCCAATTTAGTCTTACAGGATTATTTTACTTTCTCATTACTGTCATAAACCAGGCTGCTGTGGACTAGCAGTTCAGAGACAGTTTAAAGATGGAATCATCAGTGGACTTTCATTATTTGCCAAGGCCATGGTGCTGTAAGCTGAGGTGCTTTAAAGTCTTTTCTGTTTGTGTCCTGTTGCAGATAAGCTAGAATTTTAAGACATTGCATCAAATCTTCCCAAGCAACTCCCTTCTTCTTTTGTTCTTGAAGTTGGCTTGTTAATCTGTTCTTTTTTCTCCCTTCTCATCTCCCACTTCTTGATTTCCTCCAGGTCATCCGACGAGGCTGGCTGACCATCAACAATATTAGCATCATGAAAGGGGGCTCCAAGGAATATTGGTTCATCTTAACAGCAGAGAGTTTGTCTTGGTACAAGGACGAAGAGGTATGTAATAGATATCTGCTGCATGTCATGGGATGTCTTTTTCAATTGTTATCCTATTCCAGAAGAGTTCTGTTCTATTCTTCAATTAAAACAAAGCCAATTTGATTTTATATTAACCTTAGCTTAATGTATACATTATATATACCTTTGCAGAATTATATAGCATGTGTTCAAATTTTCAGTTGATAAATATTTTGGAATGGATGCTAGTGTGATACAGGAATTAGATTTTTAGCAGGGGTGAAATTTGACTGGATCAGACAGGATCGGGCAAAATCTGGTAGGGACAATTTGAATTGGTTCACCGAACTGGTAAAAATCACCCCTGATTGGCCCCGTCCTTGCCTGCCCCCATGGAAGGCAGGCAAGCGAGCATGTCGGGGCCACGGGGAAGGGAGCTAGCAGCCTACTCCCTTCCCTGTGGCCCTGCCATTCTTGCCTGCCTTCCACATGGCCTTCCTGGCGGTTCCCCATGCCTGCTTGCCTTCCAAGGTCCAGTCCCACACCCAGCCCGTGACAGGAGATGTGCCGCTTCCGGGCCAGGCCGGCCACGGGTGGGCAGGCGGCCCTTAGGGGAGACGCAGTTGCTGCACTGGGGTTGAGAGGGGCGGCGGCGGCAGCATTCCAGAAGGGTGGGTAGATGTCCTGGGGCTGCACATGCGGTGCGCATGTGCAGCCCCAGGACATCCACCCTCCCTCCCAGAGCGCCATTGCTGCCCCGGAGCTCGCCTTCACCTCTGCAGCCCGCTGGCTCCTTGGGGCAGTGCAAATACCGCATTTGCCCTTCTCTTTCTGGGCACAATGCTTCTGCCAGCAAAGCCAGCAGCTCTGCGGCCAGCTGTTTTGCTTTTTCCCTCTTTTTGGGAGGCTCGTCGGAGGCTTGCACAGAGGCACCGGCATGGGGGAAGCAGGCAATCCTGACGCCCTGTGCTGGTGCTTGTTCGGTGCAGCTGCAGGCAAGCCAAGAGACAGAGGCATGCCTCCCCCCATGCCTCTGCCTCCCCCATGCCTCTGCCTCCACCTTCTGCTGGTGCCACCATACAAGCCTCCCATGAGGAAAAAGAGGGAAAAAGCAGAGTGGCTTGCTGCGGAGCTGCCAGCTTCGGGAAGTGGCCCAACAGGCAGAAGTGCCGTGCCCAGAAAGAGATGGGCAAAAGTTATTCTGTGCTGAAGCAGAGGCATTCTAAGCCTTCAGCGTATCCCAGGATTGCAATACTGAAGGCTTGGAATGGAGCCATTTTTGTGAAAGGCAGGAAAATGGGGAAGGGGATTTTTCTGCCTGTCATCCATTCCTCTAGCTCAGCACAGACTGAGGGAAGGATGGTAGGCAGGAAAATTCCCCTCCTCATTTTCCTGCCATTCGCGACAAGGCAGGAGGGGAGGGGCCGGGTGAGGCGCCCCTCAACGTGAGTGATGTCGAGTTAGTCACGCCCACTCAGTTACATGAACCCCCCTACCAAGCCACACCTATCAAGCCACGCCCACAGAACCAGTAGGGAAGATAAGTGAATTTCACCCCTGATAGTTAAACTATAAGACTTATGTTCACTGTATGTCTGGGCCACAATCTTAGCCCAATCGAATTCATTGGGCAATGAGCCCAATACCATTGGAAGGGATGATAATATGTTGAACCTGTTCAGCAAAGGGAATATATATATTTATATCTAGTTGGATGTTTTTAAGAAGAGTCTATGACATAATATATGTAAGAAAAGAACAATTTTTGCTTCTTACATTAAGACGGGGAAACAAGTAATTGCAAATATTTAAGTGGCTTGTTATAATGACTTCCCTTCCTGTACATATGAGTAAAATTGAATTCTGAAAATCTTGAAGCAATCAGATGTTGATACTGGGCCAGCACTCTCTTTAGTAGTTAAAAGTGGCAAAGTAAGTAAAAGAAGGGCAAATTAAAATAGCAGGTCATTGATAGGTTCTTTATGTTCTAATGACAGGATTTGCTTATTGAAATGTTTTTTTCCAGTTCCAGTTGCATGTAGCTTTTTTTTAAGGTCATCATCCTGACTTTTCTTTGACACTAGCCAGCTTTGTTTAGTGAATAGTACAGTCTGTGACATTTAATTTCCAGAAACTAGTCACAGTACAATATATTCTTCTCTGATACATCTCCTAACTCCTAAACTTAGACATGTGCTTACATTTCTTGAATTGTTTTGCCCGAAGATGCCTTCCAAATTAGCTAGACTCAGATGAAGTATCTTTTATCTTCCTCTCAAGACTGAAAAGGCATCACCCTTAGCAAGTATACTGCATAGCTTTCCCCCCCCTTCCATTCAATAGCTAAGGAGTTCATATTAAAGGAAGCTTACTGAGCTAGTACAAATGTTTTTCTTTTCTTAATCTCATCTCACAGGCAACCCTCTTACTCAGAGCTCCTCATTCCTTTTTCCGGTGAGGAGGAGGGCTGCTGGTTGTCAGTGAGATAACAACAGACTGTTTTGAGGAACAACAGAGCCTAGATGAAAATGAATTACTTCCTTCATTGAATTTGCAATTGTTCACTTCCTCAGAACTGCATCGGTACACTTACACATTTCTATTATAAACAAGATTAAGAAGAATGGTTATTTTGAACATCAAATTAAATATTTAATACCAGATTTTACTCTAAACTCATCTCTTGTACTTAGAAAATGAAGAGCACAAATAATTACCTGCCTTTTTATTAAATAATTAAGTTCTAGGTATTAATCAAAACTTAGAATAAAATTGTTTTCCACCAGAAAGAAACCTTACCAGAGCAGCCAGCATCTCTGAAATTATTCTTATCCAGCCAATAAAGTAAAAGTAAAGGTTCCCCTGCACATGCGTGCTAGTCATTTCCGGCTTTAGAGGCGGTACTCATCTCCGTTTCTATTTTCAAATTTGAAAATAGTGTTTTTCAAATTTGGCAACTTTTAAGATGTGTAGACTTCAACTTCCAGAATGCTGTCCGGGCAATTCTGGAAGTCCACACATTTTAGGATTGCAAGTTTGAAAAACCCTGTCAAAAATGGGCAAATTAAGATCCTTTTAAGGGATCTGTGCTTTGGTCTCCTTAAAAAAAAAAAAAAACATATTACATATCCTGAGCAGCATATCTATGAAGGAAGACTCTAATAGCTTTATGCATAAAAATATAGAAAGGCATCTAAGAATCACTAATCTCCCCACCTTCGTGGACCATAATTTATGAGAAGAAGTTTGCAATGATCTCAACATAAGTTTTCCTCAGCTGTGCTTTGCCTGAATATGCAATATCTATGCTCTGTCATTGAGCTGTGATCATTCTGGCCCTAAAAATAGACACAAAGTTCTCTCAATCACAAGAATTGTCTTCAATTCTCTTTATTTATAGTATGGAACCTTAAAAATAGACACAAAGTTCTCTCAATCACAAGAATTGTCTTCAATTCTCTTTATTTATAGTATGGAACCTTAAAAATAGACACAAAGTTCTACCAATCATAAAATTGTCCTCCTCTGTCTTTAGTTATATTCTGGAATAGTCAGATAATTAGGAAAAGCTGAGCAGGAGAGATACATGGACAGACATTATTATTGATCTGATTTATCCTAGAACTTTTGTCAGTGGAAAAAAGGGACTTTTACACTGATACTTAAGATTCCCCCATATTCCACCCCAGTGGTGAAATGTAAAATTTGTTACTACTGGTTCTGTGGGTGTGGCTTGGTGGGGGGTGTAATATGACTGAGTGGGCGTGGCCAACTTTTTTTTTTTAACTTTTAAAACCATTTTTTCTAAAAAAAATGCTTTGAAAAGCCTCTGACGATCACAGCTGACTTGCCTGATCGACAGAGGCTTTTTCTTTTTTTTTTTAAGCCTCTGAAAGTTCGCAGATGACTTGCCTGATCAGCAGAGGCTTTTTCTTTTCTTTTTTAAGCCTTTGATGATCCCAGCTGACTTGCCTGATTGGCAGAGGCTTTTTTTTTAAGCCTCTGACGATCCCAGCTGACTTGCCTGATCAGCAGAGGCTTTTTCTTTTTTTTTAAGCCTCTGAAGTTCGCAGCTGACTTGCTTGATCAGCAGAGGCTTTTTCTATTTTTTTTTAAGCCTCTGACGATCCCAGCTGAGTTGTCTTTTAAAAACATTTTTTTCTACAACCTCTTCGTCTGAAGAGGTTGTAGAAAAAATGCTTTTAAAAATTAAAAAAAGCCTCTGATGATTGCGCGGCTCAGCTGGGCATGGGGGGGGGCAGGGATTTTTGTTACCGGTTCTCCGAACCACCCTCCACCATCGCTACTGAATCGGGCGATCCGGTCCAAACCGGGAGCATTTCACCCCTGCCCCACCCCATTACTTTTTTGGGGGGGGGTCTCTTGGTTTTTCTCCCTCCTTTCCTTGATTTCTTTCCAAAGAGTCTGCTTGGGTCCAACTGTGCTAGAGACAGATGTATGTTTTAAAGCACAACCTGTTTTCAAAGAGTTGTACTGATATGAGGAAAAAGTCCAAGTGGGTAGAAGGATTTTTGACCCTCTTTCAAGCTTGTTTTCTCAGAATTGGTTCTAAAACTGGATGTAAAATTTATTAGTACAGAAATTGTAATTGGAGCAAAGAAGGAAGCCGGGGGCTTTAGGAAGACAACATTATGGCAATTCAAGTTTTTGATGAAGTTTTCTTGTTTTCCTTATTTTCATATCTTGGCTTTAAATCAACCCAAAGACATTACATTCAACATAATCTAAATATGGGGTATGGGAACTTATATCAATTTTTTTCTCAAAGATTTGTTATCGTCCAGGTGTTACTGTGCTTAGTAGTGCAAGTTTATGCTATTTCATATGGTGGTATAATAATCCAAATTCAGAAGGGGGAATATGCTTTGAGCTCACTTTGTGTTTGCCAGCAAATGTTTAAAAGATTTATGCAGCCAGACAGTAAAAAGCACAATGGATGTGAGGTATTGAGAGGTCTGAAGTGTGTGCCCACACAAACTACTAATTCCTCTTCCCCTTTCAAATCCAGATTGTTGTACACTTCAAGAGAGGTAAAAAGAGCCTTGGTAGTACAGTGGTCTAAGGCACCTTGTTATTAAGCTGGTTATTAAGACCAGCTGCCTGCAATTACTGCAGGTTCGAATCTCACCAAGGCTCAAGGTTGACTCAGCCTTCCATCCTTTCTAAGGTAGGTAAATTGAGGACCCAGTTGTGGGGGCAATAAGCTGACTTTGTATAAATATACAAAAGGATGAAGGCTATTGCTGAGCACATTGTAAGCCGCCCTGAGTCTCCGGAGAAGGGCGGCATATAAATCAAATTAAAAAAAAAAAAATTGAAGATTTGAAATTTTTTGGCCTGTTTTTTGGCTGTTTTGGGGGCTGTTTTTCGCTTGTTTTCAGCTGTTTTCCAGGCTGTTTTTTGGGCATTTTCAGACTGGTTTTCTCGGTTTTGGGCCATTTTCTGCCGTTTTCCGGACTGTTTTTTGGACCGTTTTTTGGACATCACTTTTGGGACTTTGTGTGCATGCAGTGTGAAAGAAGGGACATAGACTCTAGAGCTGTAAACACTTTCAGATGTGGAGTTTTTGCAGGGGCTGTTCTTTGTGACTCATAGGATGATGGGAACTCTCACTATTCTTAGGCTGCATCTTATTGAAGAAAACTGTTTTAGAAACTTGCACTTTCATTCCCACATCCATTGTTTCTACGTTCCTTCCTCTGATTTTTAAGATGTTGCAGATTTCCACTGGCAAAATCTTTACTCTTTTCTTCTCAGTTTCCAGGTCAGGTATATAAAAACTTTAACAGTTCTTTTAGAACCCATAGAACTACCCCAAAGTTACCAAGTCTATCCAAAAAATTACTATTGTTTTGTGTGTTGGTGGGGGATTGGAATTTCCCCCTGCCATGTAAAGGGCATCAGGGATCTATTTCATTATCACAATACCTAACTGCTACTAAAAATTTGAGAATGTTCATTTCAAAAACAGCATAAAATTATTAAACAAAATCTGAATGACTTTCACCAGAAATATCTGGTGAAAGATAGGAAGAAAAAACTAAATGAAGAAATTAAAAATGCTCAGCCATTGGAAAAATGGTATCTTAGCATTTCTATGATAGCTTTAAGAGGAATGTTATGTCATATCTTATATCATATCATATCTCTGAGTAAATTGTGAATGCATGCCTTTTGGTCTCAATCTAAGAGATGATGTAGACAAGGCTAGAATTCCCAGTGTAGAATTGGAAATAGTTTGTCATTAATCAACTGATTTCTTTTCATTTTCTTCATTTTAACACATAACCTTCTTATTAGAGTATTGAGTTCACCTTTTAAGGAACAAAGAAAAATTATATGTAACTTTTTATCTCTTATAGGAGAAAGAGAAGAAATATATGCTGCCTCTAGATAACCTAAAAATAAGAGATGTGGAGAAGGGCTTCATGTCTAACAAGCATGTCTTCGCCATTTTTAACACAGAACAAAGGTAAGAATAACGTCCCCTTCAATCTAGATCTTTATAAGAAGCTGTTTAAATTCCTTGGCTCAACTCACATGGATGACCTTGCCAGAAAACCAAAATGACGGAGACTTGCAGATTAGTGTTTCTATCTGTCTGAATCTCCCCCTCTCTTTTTTCTCTAAGTAAGTTACAAGTATTTTTCTTATAAAAATATAGCATTTGCATAATGCTATATTGCATTGAAGATTAGAGATGAAAATAAAATAGTGCTTTTTTTCTCTTGCTTTTAGCCATCTTTCATAGATATGCTTATATCAAATTTAACTTTATCTTTTGTTACATATTTTATATGATACTTTTATCATATCATATTTTGGAGCTGTGCTGCAAAAATATGGCTTTTAAAAAGAGATTAACAAAGTGCATTTCTCTTGGCTTGTACAATAACTCATAAAATCTCCTTTAAAAAGTAATCATAGACAGTACTCTAGTTAGATGAAGAGGGAAAATTAGATCAAAGGTGAGCAGAGGTAGAATAGTTAGAGCCTTTTCCTAAGCAGTTGCTTTCCGGGCAATGGCCAACAGTGATAAGAATTGTATTTGAAAACATCTGGAGAAAAATGAAATAGAGAAGCATATGAAATCCAAGAAAACAGAAGGTTGTTGAAAATAACACAAACTATTATGATCATATAAAGGTTAGTTAGGGTCAAAGTTCTGTAATATTTGAAGAATCTTTCATCATTTGATTTTTCTTACAGTTAAACACACACACACACACACATATATATATATTTATTTATTTATTTATTTATTCGAATTTCTATACCGCCCTTCTCCTTTCGGACTCAGGGCGGTGAACAGCCAGATAAAAAACATCTATACAAACATCACGGTTAAAAAATAAAGTTAAAATAATTTATAAATTTGGCCAATAATTTAAAACTTGTCAATATATATTCACATTATCCCCTTTTGGGTAAATAATATGCAAAGTGAAACAAGCAAGAAATAGTAAGCAAAAGAAATTGGAGGCAAAAAACCACAAACAGAAGAAATTTGTCTAATTTTAGTTTACACTATCATTCACTATATCTCATTTTTGTCAGCCAACCTTCCTTCCCATATATTCATACAACAATTTATTTTCTTTTGTTCTTTCTCTTTTTGAAGTTCCTATCTACTCCATCCAACTATGATGGAGTCATAGGTCAGCTTCAGGGTTGACAATTATAATATAATTATATTATTATTAATATAATATAATATAATTAATATAATATAATAATATAATATAATAATACAATACAATACAATACAATACAATAAATAATATAATATAATATAATATATAATTATAATATAATAATATAATATAATATAATATAATATAATATAATATAATATAATATAATATAATATAATATAATATAATATAATATAATATAATATAATATAATATAATATAATATAAATATTAGCAGATAGCCATAATCTGCAAAGATGAAGTCAGGAAACAAAGGCTCAGAATGAACAAAGACTTGCAACAAATGTCAAAGATAATTTTAAAAAGTTTCTTTCAACTTATAAATAACAAGAAAAAAGTCAAGGAAACAGTCGGTCCACTAATGAGAGAAGAAGGCAAGGAGGTAACAGGCAGTAAAGAGAAAGCAGTGCTGCTTAATTCATTCTTTGTATCGGCCTTCACACAAAAAGAAACTATAGCCCCACCTACCAAAAACATAACTGTAAAAGACAGAAATAAAAATTAAAATAAGTAAGAGAACATCTGTCTGATCTTGATGAATATAAATCACTGGGACCTGATGGATTACCTGACAGTTCTGAAGGAACTGTTAGATGTCATCTCAGTACTATTGTACCAGGGGTGAAATGCTCCCAGTTCGGACCAGCTCGGGCGAGTAGGTAGCGGCAGTTTGGAGAACCGGTAGCAAAAATCCCTGCCCCCGCCGCCCCCCATGCCCGGCTGAGCCGCGCAATCATCAGAGGCTTTTTTCTCTTTTAAATGGTTCTGACCAGCCAAGCTCTGACAATCCCAGCTGAGTTGCCTGCTAATCAGGCAACTCAGCTTTGGATCGCCAGAGCCGTATAAAAAAAAAATCTTTTTTCCTTTAAAATGGCTCTGACCTCCCCCCCCCCCCCTCAGCTTGCTTACCTTAACTGCTGGTCGCAATGCCTTGCTGTAATCCCGGCAATCTATTGCATCAGCAAGCAACTGAATCTCCCTGCCTGCAATTAAGGAGGCAGGGAGTTGTGGACTTCAACTCCCAGAATTCCTCAGCCAGCAAAGCAAAGGAGTTGAAGTCTACAAATCTTAAAGTTGCCAAGGTTGGAGACCCCTGTTCTATTGGGTAAGTTTTTTTCCCCTTTGGGAGCTTTTAAAAAAAGTTAATTGGGGTTTTTTTTAGTTGTTCTTTTTTTAGCCATTTAAAGTTTAGGAAGTTTTAAATTTAGCTGCTTTTATATAAAAATAAAAATAAATTAAAATAAAATAATATTTGTGCAGCTTTCTGAGATTTAGTGTGTTTCTGTAGTATTTCACTCCAACTACACAAACACACAAAATCTCACAAAGCTGCATGTGGAATTTTGTGTGTGTAAAGTGTGAAAGTTGTTTTTTGGGGCTTTTTGTGGCTGTGTGAGGTTCCTGCTTGTTGCAGGAGCCATTTTGGGTCTAGCACAGCTGCTTTTATATTGTGGGTGAGCCAGTTGTGTTGTGTTGTGTTTTATAGGTTAAAAAAGGGCAAAGAAGTGACATTGACTTGACCACGCCCACCTGGCCAACAAGCCACGCCCTCCCAGTCACCTTACCAACAAGCCCTGCCCACTAATTAAGCCACTCCCACAGAACCGGTAGCAAAAATTTTTTAGATTTCACCCCTGTATTGTACCATATCTTTCCAAAATCCTGGTGCACCAGGTAAACTACCTGAGGATTGGAAAAGAGCTGATGTGGTTCCCATCTTCAAAAAAGGAAAAATAAAAACAGACCCAGGAAACTACAGACCAATCAACCTAACATCAATACCTGGAAAGATACTGGAAAAGATAATCAAAAAACAGATCTGTGAACATTTACAGTAGAAACAAATAAAGTTATAACTAGAAGCTAGCATGGGTTTGTTAAAAATAGATCATGCCAAACCAATCTTATTTCATTGTTTGACAAAGTGACTAAATTAGTAGACCAGCGAAATGTTGTGGACATAGTATATTTAGACTTCAGGCATTCAACAAAGTAGACCACAACCTTTCTTGGTAAGCTAGAAAAAAGTGAGATAGGCAGCATCACCATCATAGATTTGTAACTGATTGACAAACTGTACTCAACAAGTAGTCCTTAATGATATCACATCCACACAGAGGGAAGAAAGCAGTGGGGTGCCACAAAGTTCCATGTTAGGCCCAGTACCCTTCAGTATCTTCATTAAATGACTTAGATGAGGGACTATAAGGGGAACTAATCAAATTTGCAGATGATACTAAGCTGACAGGAAGAGTCAACACCCTATCTGGTTCAAGATCCAGATGTATCTCAACAGACTTGAACACTGAGCCCTATCTAACAAAATGAAATTCAACATAGAGAAAAGTAATGTCTTGCATTTAAGCAAAAAAAACCAAAAGTACACATACAGATTAGATGAAATCTGACTTATTAGCAGTATGAGAGGGATCTTGGAGTCCTAGTGGACAATCAAAATATGAGCCAGCAGTGTGCAGCAACAGTCAAAAAAGCCAATGCAATCCTAAATTGCATTAACAGAGGGATTGAATCAAGATCATGTGCGGTACTAGTACTGCTCTATAAAGCCTTAGTAAGACCACACCTAGAATACTGCATCCAGTTTTGGCCACCACGCTGTAAAAAAAGATATTGAGACTCTAGAAAGTTTGTAGAGAAAAGCCTGGAGGCTAAAACATATGAACGATTGCAAGAACTGGACATGGCTAGTCTAGTGAAGAGAAGGACCAAGGGTGACATGATAGTGTTCCATTATTTGAGGGGCTGCCACAGAGAGGAGGGTGTCAAGCTATTTTCCAAAGCACTTGAAGGCCAGACAAGGAATCATGGATGGAAACTGACCAAGGAGAGATTTAACCTAGAAATAAGGAGAAATTTTCTCACTGTGAAACAACCAATGGAACAGCTGGCCTTCAGAAGTTGTGGGCTTTCAAGGAGAGACTGGACAGCCACTTGTCAGAAATGGTATATAATGGTACCCCTTGTTTGAGCAAGGGGTTGGATAAGATGACCCACAAGGTCCCTTCCAACTCTGTTAGTCTGTTATCGGTCATTCTTTTTTTTCTTCTTGTTTTTCCACACACATTCATTTGGCATTCAGCTGAGTTTGTGTTTTTCTTGATATATAAATAGTCCCTAGGTTACAACAGTGCATTCAGGCACCAAAGTTGCAATAATGCTAAATGAATGGTACTTAGAACCAGTGCTTGGATTTCAAGCTCTCATAGCATCCCTACAGTCAAGTGATTGTGATCTGGTACTTGATGCCCACCTCACATCATCATAGTCGGCCATGGTTATGCAACCAGGATTTCCGATGTTCCCTGCAGGCTTCCCACAAGCAAAGTCAGTTGGCAAACTGGCAGGAAGTTGGAGGTCTGCCGTCATGCAGGATTATTGCTTAATAATGTGTATGTCCTTGCTTAACAGTGATATCTGGGACCGCCAAAATAGTTGCCGCTAAACAATGAGGTCTTGTGATATGCTTTAGAACCACATTGCTTAGCAATGGAAATTCCAGCCCAAAGTACTCAATTTCTTGAACTCAATTCTCATTTCCACTTTACAAAATGGGTGAAGTGCACACTTTGTACTTAGCTATTCTTGCTTCTCCCAACAACAACAGACCTTTATATTGGAATTAGCATATCTTAAAACTTCTCTGCATATTTTTCCCTTTCCTATTAAATTTTCATATCCTTATTCTTCATGCTATATACTGTATAATGTTCACTCAAACACTTAGGTTCTGAACCAATCACAGAGGTTAACTGCATAGAAGAATGTCATTGCAATATCAATATGCAGCTAATGTCAATACAAGCAAATCAAAAATTATGTTTAGTAAATACAGACTGTAGGATATTTCTCTTACTCTTATTTCATGATGTTTTGATATTTTCTCTCATTTAATTAAATGGGTAATTGTTTTGTTGTCGTGCATTTCTATTCTAGAAATGTATACAAAGATCTGCGTCAGATTGAACTTGCCTGCGATTCTCAGGAAGATGTGGATAGCTGGAAGGCCTCCTTTCTTCGTGCTGGTGTTTATCCTGAGAAAGACCAAGTAAATATTGCTCAAATTTTTAGTTGAAAGGGAGAGAGGGAGGGAATTGCTGAAGAATTTCTTATCAGTTGTTGCCATTGTCTGGAAGTATCTTACACCTAAAATCAGGAGTATACAACCTTGAAAATCTGAAATGTCAGATTTCAGCAACATCTTAAATGATTTAAGTGCCCTCAGGAGGAGTCGGGTACAGGTAATTTTTGATTAATTACCCTAATAGGGATTAGAATTTGCATCTCTAAGCGAAGCAATTGTTAGGCAAAATTGTTAGCTGCCCATCTTCGCTTTCTTTGAAGCTCACTAGCAACTTCTGTAACGGGGGTGGGGGGGGATGGGGGATTTGGGAGGGGAAGACTGCTGGAGATGTGAAAGAATGCTGTAGAAAATAGGGGAGTATGGACACTAACAGGAACCAGAGGTGCCAAACAGCCATCTGCCGCCCTTCAAGAACGCTGACCCTGAGAAAGGAATTTACAGTGGTGCCTGAGGCACCGGGTTACCAAAACATCGGAATAGAACCTGATTGCTCACAAGGAGGGAGGGTTTTGGACATTGTGTCAACCATGGAGGCCATATTTTTCTTTGGATCTTTAGGGCTGCCACACTTGGTGGATGGGTATGCTGTGGGAAACGGAGGGGAGTTGGTTGGAGATGGGGTGAGATGTATAGCATAACAACATTATTTTCCCTGGGAGTCAAGGCCATTCAGCCTACACCTGGACTGACTGAGAATCAGCTCCAGTAGGGATGGGGACCTGATTGGACCATGTGTGAACATGTGGGTGCAGGGGAAAGAACTTTGACTTTCCTATGGGTGGGGAAAACCCGGGGGACCTTCAGATTTAGGTTTTCCCAGATGATATCTCTAATAAAATGGAACTTTGAGGAAAATGCCTGCCTTGGAGTTTTACTTCTGTTGCGAACCCTGACACATTGGGGATTACTTTCAATATATGTTTTTTACCCAGTTTTTCTTCAGAGCTTGCCTCGCTACTCTGTACTCAGCATCTCTAGTAAAAGTACCTTTTCTCTAACACCTATGGAGTCAAGGGTCATTCTTTCCTAGGGAGCAAGCTGTGTGTCAGGGTTCCAACGAAATCAAACTTTGAGGCTTGCGTTTCCTCAAAGGTAATTTTTATTAGAGATGTCATATTGGCACATCTGAGAGCTTCCGGGTTTTCCTCACCCAAGAGAAAGTTCAAGTCCTTGCCCCTCACCCACATGTTCATCACACAAACCAATCAGGTACCCTCCAGAACAGAAGATACCTCCTCATTCTTCTCAGCACAGCTGCACCTTGGCCTTGACTTTCTAAAAGAATTCTATTTTGACTACATATCTTCTTCACTCTGTACAGTCCTCCCTCCCATTTTCCCACAGTAGAATTTGTGGCAGGCCTGAAGCCTGAAGGCACAAAAGTAGAAATATGGCTTCCAGGTCTGACACTGTGGCTAGTCTGACAGTAGGCAAGCTGTGCTGTAGTAGTCAACCAAGAAACCAGTGTCTACTGAGGGGACTGAGCGAAAATGACAAGCTACAAAAGTGGCTTGGAAGAAGCTGGAGCTTGTGGAGGGCCCCCTAAAGAGGAGCTCAAATGGCTGGGGAACTTGAACATTGGTGAGGAAGCCCCAAACCCCACTGGTCACTCACCCTGGGGATAAAAGATGAAGAAGTGGAGGAGAAAGCCCTCAGTGTAACATACACCTGGGGGAGCTAGGAGATAGGAACAATGTGATGGCCAGGGTGAGGAAAAACTCCTGCCAGAGCAGCAGGAGGACCTGGTGAAAAAAGCCCAAAGGGTATTGAGAGATTCCTTTGGGAATCAGCAAGCCAAAGAACTCCTTGCCTAGCTGGCCAAACCTCGACCCATGCTGGCACCAGTGGGAGATGAATTCATAGCCCAGGCGGCTGAGGCAACCATCTACCTGGACTTGCTCCATCCCCAGCAGCCCCACCACTAGCTGCTCAAGAGGCACAGCCCCTTCCACAAGGGGGGGGGGCAATTCTCCCATAGCAGGGACCACCAAGGCCCCCAGCCCTGGACTTGAAGTACAGAGGAGACCTGAAGCAACTGAGGTTCTTCCTCATCCAGGTGTGGAACTATATGCAGGAGTACAAAGGAGATCTGGGTACAGAAGCAGCCTGGGTCAGATGCATAACTACAGTATGGCCTTGGAAGGCACCATAGTAGAGTGGGTGGTCTCCCTCCACAATGATGACATGCCAGAACTCTGAAACTTTGATTGGTTCATGATGGCCCTGCATCAGCGGTTCGAAGACCCACTCACCCAGTGTAAAGCAGGAACCCACATCAAAACCATCAACCAAGGTCACAGGGGGGGTGAAAGCTTACAACCAAGAGTTCTGCGAGTTGGCATGTCGGGTAACCGATTAGCCGGAAGACATCCTAATAGAATACTTCCAAGATGGGCTCAATGATGATTATACAACACCTGTGTCTCACAGGGAGCCCCCCTGCATCTCTGCCAGTGGTACATGTTAGCTGAGGAGGTGGAAATCGAGCTAACCAGGTCCCACAGCTGGAAAACCCACAGTGGTGCCGTTTCTCACTAGAAAAGCAAGATGCCCTGAGAACACCCGGACGCAACCTTAGCCCCAAACATCAATCCACAGAATGCTTCAAATGTGAGAAAGAAGGGCACTGGGCCACCAACTCGCCAAAGTAACCCCAAAGCCCAGTGGCACTGCAGGGAAGAAGATGGGAAAATCCACCCCAATGCCCCACAAAATGGCACTGGAGGGAATCAAAGTCTGAGTTCTTCCCCCCCCCTCCTCCCTACAGAGATCAGGGAAGTCCAGCCACCCTAGAGAGGAGCAACACTGACTCTGATGACGAACCCCTGGTAAGTCACCCAGTTGAACTGAATGTGCTGTCATTGGGCACCCAGGGGAAGGTGTTGGCTTTACTGGACTCAAGCTGCACCAAATGCATGGTGAGCCCTGAGGTAGTGGAGAAACTGAGATTGAGGCTCCAAAAACCTATAGCATTTTGCCAACTAGAGGGCACTGTGGCCAGGGAAGCCCAAGCTCACTTTATAACCAAGCCAATAGAAATGCAGATGGGGTAGTTTTCCTTGTATGCCACCGCTAATGTTGCTTTTGTGTTCAGTTGCCAAAATTCTTCCCATTTCTCCAGATCTATTGTATATTTGAAGTTTTGCATCCATTTAATCATCGTATTCTTAACTGTTTCCTCCTCCATCTTATATTGCAACAGGAATTTATAAATTTTACTAATTAATATCTCTTCTGAGTCTAATATAATTTTATCTAATTCTTGTTTTTCTTTGTAAATTTCGTATGTTTTTATATATTCCTTATGTTTCGATTGAATCTGTGAGAAGGTCCACCAATCAATTTCTCTATTTAAATCTGTTTCCAATTGTTGTTTAGTTTTCAATTTCCCTTGATAATCAGTTAGGTCTTTGTATCTAATTAGATTTTTAGGTTCTGTTAGGTTTGGATGCCTTAAGGCTTCTTCTTTTTTTTTTTGTAAATATTTTTTATTTATTTTTTCCAAATTTAAACATAAAACATAGCTTTCAAGAGCAAAAATCTCGATCCGATCATAGGTGGTTACCACGCTTACATTCCTTTCACAAGCTCAATTCACAATTTCCATTACATCTTTTATAAGTAAACAAAAAATAAAAGAAGATAAAAAAGAATCAAAACTTAAAAAAAACCAATTTTAACTCAAATTTAACATTTTCATCTATATAAATCCATTATATCTATCCAAAATTAGTTTCAAATTCACTTTCACTCATTTTTACATCTGCATAACAATTCTAAACATATCTTTATTCTTCTTTACCTTATATCTTATACAAGTCATATCAAAATAATTTTTACAATATTCTAACCTCTTGTTAAGTGTTTACCTTACAATTTTATCACCATTTATTCTTAATTTCAATTTAATACCACTCCATTTTTATTATATTTTATAAAACAACATTTTGTCTAATTTTAATCCTTTGACCCTTATCCTCAAATCACTTTACCTTATTTTTTTTCTCCCAGTTTACATATTACACAGATTTCTCACAAAGACATATTTTATTTACTCCAATTTCTAATATATTTCCCACTATATCTCCCTCTAATATTTAACTATCTTCCAGCTTATTCTATTTGATTAATTCTCAGCTTGATCCCCTCCAAAACACCAACTATTTAGTTAATTTCAGAATAGTTCCTCAATCTCCTCCAACTCTCCTCCTATTTTTTTGGCTGTTTCCAGCATTTTGTGGGCTGATTTCTAGCATAGTCTCCCCCTTAACTCCCTCCATTGTTTGGCTGATTTCCAGCATAGTCTCCTCCAACTCTCCTCCTATTTGTTTGGCTGTTTCCAGCATTTTATGGGCTGATTTCCAGCATAATCTCCTCCTTAACTCCCTCCATTGTTTGGCTGGTGTCCAGCATAATTCCCTCCAGCACTCCTCCTATTTGTTTAGCTGATTTCCAGCACTTCTAATTAATTTCCGACGTATTTCCACCGAGTCTCAAACTCTTATCTAGTTGGTATCCATCCCACACATTTTAACTGTAATATAATTATCTGTTTTATATCATTTTTCCATCCTACTCTTTCAATTTAAATCTCAGTATATTTCATAATAGTCATCATTTCCAACATGTATTACCTTAATTCAAGACTAATCACTAGCATCTGTGTATCTTGTATTTTGTTCAATGAATCCTTATTCATCAGTTTAACATTTGTTTGCAAATTAAAATTAAAACATATTACATCAAACAGTACATTTTCTTAAAATTTTCCTGCCTCAAAATATATTCTTCTTTATTATTTTTATCCCCTTGATATCATCCACTATTTTAATAGCCACCTCTTATTTTCTATTTTTCTTATTTCACAACCCTTCCTGTTTTTATCCAAAAATCATATATACCTAGGCTTTTAAACTTTACATTTCAGTTAGTTACATTTAAATTTATCCACTTTAATTCTTCCT